GATTGCAGTTTTTGTCATCCATTTAAAAACAAGATTAATGATCAGCTTATGTTTCAAAAGAACTTTTATTTCGTGTCCATAAAAAAAAAAGTATATTGCAAGATAACTTGATATTAGAAAATAAATAAAGCTGTTCATTCACGTGTTTAAAAAGTCTTAATTATTTTAACTAATGATTCATCTTGTCTGGGCTTTTAAGAAACCAAGGTTGCCAAAAGCAAGAAAAATAATAAAAAAACTAGGAGGCTTCACCCCCTGCTCACTGGCGCTCGCCAACCCCCGGAACTGCTTTCGCAGTTCATTTCGGATTGCCTCGCAATCCGATGCTAGCTTTACTCGCTCATTGGATACGTTCTTAACGTCTAGTTTTTGTATACTTTTTTGAACACTGAAGTTCCGAAAACTTTTCACTGTAGAAAATTCTAAACCTGTGCATTTCAATATTAATTTGAAATTGCAAACAGTTCACATATTTTTCTTAATCACACTATTCTAAATTTCAGTTGTTGAGAAAAGTAACTGCTGTAAGTTTTGTTTTAAAGTATTTCCCACCAGAGGGCTATAACCATGTGTTGTAAAACAATATGAAATAGTACTGAAAACCGGATGTAAAGCATCGGCTTCGATGAAGATATTTTTTTGATAATTCGGTGAGAATTCACCCGATTAGACATATGATATGCTCACTACGTGCTTTTTCACGCCGAAGCCTATCAATTAAAACGTATTAGCGTTTTATATAATATAGATCAGCCATATGATGCTCACTACGTGCTCTTGCGCGCCGAAGCCTATCAATTAAAAATGAAAACTTTTGCCAACACAAGAAAAGAAATATCATCGGTTTTATTGATACATACGTAAGTATAAGCGTTTTATATAATAAGATGCAATTTGGTACTTACACTTCTAGAAGAAGATCACGGATAACCACAGATGTGACCTATGGCGTCAGCGTTTGCTGATTGCTTATAAGCAAAATAGTGTGTTAAAGTTGTGCTAAGTTTTTCCACATCAGTTTGAATGTTAATCAACGTGAAGATAACTAAATACAGGGCCGTATCAAATACCGATTTCGTTGAAACATAATTTTTTCTCGTCTGCGACTTTTACTTAACACTTAGGTTAATTATTTGTTCGTGTATTTTATAGTAACCTTCAACTGTCTTAGTCTTCTCTGGGAAGACATTTATTCTACTCCTCTTTTGGTATTTGATTTTCTTCAGGTCAACGGGTTCATAGATCTGGTCTGACTTCGTCAGGCCAGAAGAGGATAAGTAACAACAACAACAATAGTAACCTTATTATATATATTTGTTTTTCATACCTGGCAACTTCAATGCATAATTAGTTTGTTTATGTTCTACATAGTTGTACATGCCTGTCTTTGTATTAAGTAAGAAATACATAGTGAAAGAACTAAAATCTTTGCGAAAAAGCATCGACTGAGTCCCTTAAGAATTAATAATTGATGCGCTTGGATTACTCGAAATAGAATGGAAAGAACAGTTCGTAACGTAAACAAACGTTTCGACAACCAATCAGGGTAACGTAACAAGTCACGTTTCAACAATCAATCAGCATGAAGAAACTCACACTACGTCATTAGCAGGCATCCTATTAGTTTGGTTCAAAAAATTAATATATTTTTTTAATTGTCCCCATTTCCAATTGCAGCAAACTAAATTTTAAATAAATTATTGATGATGCCGCTAGTCTAAACCCAAACTAATTGGCAATTTTCAGACAATTAAAAAAAAATTTAATTTATTAAACCACACTAATTACATTCAAAAACCACTCTCATCGTCAAAACCAACTCATCAAAACAAAAGCCAGCTTCATTCTGTTCTAAAAAAAAATTTATATCAAATTAAAAATTATATTTTCGCGTGGCGTTCATGATACTGCGTTGCATGCACCAAAGCGACTATGTGATTGTCAACATTCACCGGTGAAAGTCAACAACCACCGATTTCGGTCATTCACAGTAACATGCACATCATTCACATAATAACTTCATCAGGACGTTTATTTCATACTTTGCCTAAATAACATCTGACATTATATATAATGCCTAGGCAATGTGTGAAATATAAATCATTTCATACTTTGCCGGCTAGTTTTAGGCATTATATATAATGCCGGATATCATACTTTGTCGGTAACAGATATAAAAATTGATTAAAAAAAAAAAGCATAAGTATAACACTTTAAAAAAATACTACGTAAAATACCACACCCCTATTTTAAGTCAAACAACACTTGCCATACATATTATTGAAAATACAACGTATGAAAGTAAATTCCGATGCAAGCGCAGTAAATTCTACTTTCCCCACCTTTGAAATAAATGGAATGATCCAGTCTCATTCAGATCCAATGTGGGAATCAAGGGCTAGTAATTAATTTTAAGTGCATAGTACACAATATTCTTTTTAATCATTAATGTTATTTTAATCTATTACTGATGACAGTATACATTTTCAATTGAATAAAAAATTTGTAATGGTTTATAAAATTATAATTATGATAATTTTCTTAGTTAGCAATTTTTTTTAATTTAAAAAATTATCGATTTCCAATCTTCCTTGGTTTTACAAAAAATATTAGAATACAAATATGTTTAAAAGTTTTAGTAAATAGTAATTTATCACACAGTTCATTAATATAATTTTTAAATTCGATACTTTTAAAACACACACAAATAAAAAGTCATTTGAGACGTTATATTCAATATGCAAACAACATTATTTTCTTCAGTTTAGAACATAAAAAGTCTTTTTTATTTATTCGAAAGCTTCCGGTAAATATCTACGTTTATGCCCTAGAGACAGATTTCAAAAGAAAGGAATAATTATTTTATACTCAGGTTTCGTGGTTACATATTTTTCTAAACATAATTAATTTAGACAATAAAGTAATAGTTTAGATTAATTATTCTTTTGTGCTATCACTATTAATTTTATATTTCCCTTTGTGATTCTAATTAAATATATTCCTATTTATTCTCTTTATTTATTTATAAAAATAAATAATAAACTGAAAAATGGTGAAACTATAACTGCAAATTAATCTAGAAAATTCTAGAAACTAAATTAGATGAACAGTACTTTCATGAATTAATTCTCTTTCAGAAGATAAATTGTTTTGTGTCTGTAGTGCAAAGAGTAGCTTTTAAAAAATTTAAATCTTAAAATAAAGTGCACAGAAGAAAAATGTGTCTTCAAAAAGACCGGAAAATGGTAAAATTTACCACGTTTTTGGCTCTATGAGACCGCAAAGAAACTCGATAATTTTTTCCCCGAAACGTTTGAGATTGCTAACAATAAAATTTGGTTTTGAAATATCTGATAAAAGCTGGCATAAGTGGTTAAATTTGGCAATTTTACCATAATACTTTACAGCATGGAATAAAGCCATTTATTCGGTTAAATTTAATTTTCAGACTTCTATTTTGTGCTAAGTAAGTGGTAATAAGAACTATATATTTTTGAAAAAAAAATATCTGGTAAACCATTACCATATGAACGGAAAAATTACTTAATGAATGGTTTAAATGCCGTTATTTGTTTGTATTAGGTTTATTCTTAAAAAATATGATGTTTTTAATAATCTGTATGGTACGGTACGGAATTATTATCGGAATTTTTTTTTAAGTGTAAACATTCGTTTTTCATATTTTAGAATATTTTTATTTGTATCTTTTTAAATTTTAACATAATTTGTGATTTTACCGGAAATTGAAAAACATAGCATGGTTAAAATAAGAAATAAAGGGTTTCTACTGCAAATACTTTTACGCAATTTATTTCAAATCGTATCAAATATTATAAATGTATCTAACTTTTAAACCAGCAAAACACCAATTCAGTAAAAATTTTAATGACAGAAACCATCTGTAACCATATTAATTTTACCTGTATTTATTAATATGTAACCATATTAATCTGAAACCATATTAATTTTTATATAAAATGAGGCAAAAATAACTAAGCTTGAAAGCAAGTATTTTTCTTTCACTACCAAAGTTTTAAAATTTATAATTTTAGCTCGATATTTTTTATCGCAGCGCTTTGATGATTTTGGTCAAATCATGGTGTGATAATGTTTGATAATTATAGCATGATGTCTTAGAGCATGGCATAAATACTATTATTCAGTTAAATTAACTTTTCATTTATGCATTTTTTACAACATATTTGGTAATAATAATAAAATTATTCTGAGAAATGAAACTATATTTTTCATTTGGTAATAAGAACTATAATTTTGAAAATCAGGTTTTCAGTAGACTGTTAGTATGTGAACGGAAAAACTACCAAATAAATGGTTTTAATGCCGTATATTTTGGCTTTATTAGCCGGAATTATGTTGTTTTTTTTTACCAGAAATTACCTTACCATCCTGTTGGGTAATTTTACCAAAACTTTTTCTCCGTGTGATAAGCAGGTAATGACAATTTTGGCACGGAAAAACATGACAACTTCTTAAGCAGAATGAGTTCTTATTTAGAAAATAATAATAATTACAGAATACATTGAAGTAAGAGAAACTTTCTTCATAGCACAATTTATCAGAATTAATTGGAACCACGCATCCATACAATCAAATATCCGTATGATTATATAAATTAGTAAAATGATAAAAAAAAAAAATTTCATGAGAAAGCAAGTGAGAAGCAAAACTTATAGTTAATCACTTAAGTTTATCAACAAAATAATTTTTCAACGTAATATCACTTTTTTTTACAAGTTTTGTGAGTTCTGTAAACTTCTGATAATTTAAAACTAACTGAAGAATCTTCATCTTTAATACATGAAATAGTAACATAGATTACGTATGAAAGTTTTCTTAAGTCTGCATATGTATGGATAAGTATTAGTTTCTTTAAGTACGTATTTTAATTAGTATTTATTTCTATAAGTATTTGCTCTTAAAAGTTTATATAAATAATGCAAAGAATAATAAGTTTGCTAACTTGTGCAAAATTCTTTCAGAAGAAGATACTGAAAAGAATATTTCTGTTCTTTTGGATGGTGAAGAACATGAGATTAGTTTTGCTGATCCACCAACCATGCCAGATACACCTGTAAGTTGAAGGATTTGCTTATTTTTTTTTAAACTTATAAGTAGTGTAACACAGGTGACAAGATAAAGCAGAGTAGGTTTATTATAGTGATTGTGCCTTCAAAGTTTAAACACGATGTCCTTTATACGGCTAGATAAGAAAAAGAATATTGTTTTAGTGTTTGATATTAAAAGCATGGCGTCTGGGTGGAAGTATTCCTTTTTCGTGCTCCTGTGAGTATTTCTTTTACGTGTTTTTACACGTAATCTCGATAATTTTAACTTTTGTTTTTAGCTAGTGTTATAAGCAACAGTTTTGAGTGGTCAAATTTTCAAGTGTTTTTTTTTTAAATTTTATGAATTGTGTGATTTGGTACAACTACAGGATATCATTTTTTGGTACCTTGGTCAGTACGCGGAAGCTCTGCATTGACGTAGTCTATTCAAGCGTCACTCACTTCGCTGTTGGAGAGCTGAGTTTGGAGTTCTATCCTAGAAGCCGACAAAACGATATTAACCTACAGCAAGGTGGGAACTGCGATTGCTCAGGTGATGGAGTGCTCGCTTTTCAATGAGGTAATACTGGTTCTAATCCCAGAGTCGATAATTTTGGTCGGTACAAATACATTGCTCAAAAATTACTGTCGTAATAATTACTGACTTTGCTAACGTAAAATATCACCTGTAATAGACGGATCATGGATTAGAATCTCCGTACTGTCCGGCTAAACTTGAGAGGTTTTCGTAGTTTTCTTCTCTAGAAAAACACACGTGGGTTAGATCCAGCAAGAAAAACCTTCACGAAGGCTGGTTTGTCCCAACACTTGATTCAGAAGTTCCCTTGGCTTCAGGTTTGGGTTGAAGATTACAAGGCTATGGATAGTCGGAAATCAAGAAATTGATCGGTGGTTCAACGTCGGTTATAAAGAAAAATTAAACAGCAAGCACGTTAAATTTGTCGTATCTGAAAATTCGCACACTGGTAATGATGTGAGAATTTGGAAAGAGGCGTTGGTTTTAGTGTTTTCTAAGACATCTGAACGGGGGATTTAAATTACCTAGAACTCCTACCAAAATCGTTAAAATATTAAACTCTGAAAAACTTTGCAAGTTGCTTGACTTGGATTTGTGATGTATGCCTTGAATACGGTAGTTTGTACAAACAAACAGTAAATATAATTATGTATAAATAACGTAATAAGCACAAATAAACGATTCACAAAAGGAATAAACAGCTGTATCGATGCGATGCTACTCTTAAATAACATCAATAATGACAAGACCGGCACAAAATGTGTACGTAAGAGTAAATAGAAGTTTCAGTAGGGGCCGAAAAGACCATCAATCGTGCGGAGACACAGATATAAATCCAACATATCTACCTTGTCTGTTTCGCTTTTATACTAAGTATTGTATAAAAGTACCCCCACTAGTACCGAGGCAAATACAGGCATCAAATATATCTCAACACTGACGAAGGTATTTGATTAGAGAATCGAAGCAATCATTTGTTTTTTCAACTTTACAAATTCCCAAATTCAAATTTGAGTATAATTTTTTAACCCTGTCTTACAATGTTTAATCTGTCTTAAATTTCGAATATCAATGAAAATGCAAGTCAATGTCTATTTTTTACAGTGTGAGGAACAACTAGAAGGGGATGCTTACATTGTCGTCTACTCCATCACCGATAGAAACTCATTTGAAAAAGCAATTGACATACTTTTTAAATTGAGAGACAGAGGATGCACAATAAACAAAGCTGTTATACTGGTTGGAAACAAGTCAGATCTTGTAAGAACAAGAGCAATAACAGTAGATGGTAAATTATCCTTTTCCTTTCTCTCTTTTCCTAAAAATAACTGATAGATTCTTTATTTTATGTTATAACAGATATGCTTGATATTATTTGGGGTACGTTGGTAACTAAGATGTAGTGCGCAAAATAAACAAAAAATCTCATAATCGCTTTTGATCTAATGATTAGAATTTCGCGTACTAAGATGCAATTTTTATAATTTAAATTACTACTACGATTTTACTAGTTACGAAAACATATTTTCTCTGAATCAAAAAAATTTTTTTTCGAAAGATTTGATTTCTTGATTCTCAAAATGTGGGAAAATTGTCGCGTCTGGAAGATATGATCACAATAATTAAAACTGAAGAGGCGGCGAAAGTTTAACCTCTAATCTCCGTACTGTCCGGCTAAACTTGAGAAAAAAGAAATACCAAAAATACCTTGAGCAAAAAATAAAATTACCATTACTTAAAAGTTAATTTTATTTTTTGCGTATTTTCCCATATACAAGCAATTATACAACTTACTTATTTAAAGATAAATCTGCACCAAATTTATTATTTTATAACCATTTATTATTTAATTATATAACTCATTTATGATTTTTCTCTGAGTAATTTTAAATGTCCAAGTATAAATTTTTTTTGTTCTGTGCAAAATTTTTGTACAATTTAAAATGAAATTTTGACTCAATAAAAGCATTTTACTCACTGTATGAAACCATTTTCGTACATTTTCGTATATTTTGCTACGAAATTCCGTATTGGGCCCTAATATATATATATTACAACATATTTGGTA